CATTCCCCACTTCCATGTCTGGGAGTCCTAAGCGAGGTGAGGCGTTCGGATGGAGAATTGCATAGGTTAGCAGAGGAGGAGTCCTGGTGTTATTTAAAAGCATCGGCCCAAAGATATCGCGGGAGATGTCCACATGAAGTTCCAGAGTCTGTAAGGTGGAATCACCTGAGGGTTTTATCTTCTTCCCCAGCGGGGGAAATGTAGAGGAAGCTTAGCTCCACCTATCACTAGGGTCTCCAGGCAGGGTCATGGCTTATAATCATTTCCGAATTCCATGTCAAGACTGCAAGGAAGGTGAGGTATTTTGAGATGGCTAGACTCAGATAAGTAGGGGACAAGTCCAGAACTTGATGGGAAAATGCTCAGGGAGGACTGAGAGCCATCCTCTCCCCTACCGATACTGGTATCATCTGTTCAGGCTTTGTCCCTAGGATGCTTTAGGTAGGGACAGAGCTTGTGGGTTATATCATTTCCTGGGGTTCCCCACAGAAGGTTAAGGGAAGGGCCGCTTTCCTGAAGGGGCTCTAGGTCACTAAACAGAGGGTTCACTGCTGGCTCTTGCATTTTCAGGACGCACCCTGGTGGAGGAGCAATAGAACTTCTCCCCGCAGGCATTGAAGGGTCCCAGCTGTTAGTTCTGAGACCCGTGGGGGTAGAGTGTTACTTCATTTGGAGGAGACTCTTTCACTTCCTGCCCCAGAGACCTTAGCTCCCCACTTAGCGGAGGGAGGTGGGCTGGCGCTGCCACACATTAAAATGAAGAACCCTGAGGAGTGAGAGGGCTTCTAATTATCAATATGGAGAGGCTCAGCCATGTCTTCCCTTCGCTGTTAGTCTGAAGGCACCTATTTTGGCTTTGGGGATTTGGTATTTAGACTTCAATCTTAGGAGGAATCGGCGGATTTTCTTGAGGAGGCTAGGCTCCTTTCAGGAGCCTCATTAGGCTTCAAGCTGGAGAGTACTCTGAGACAAGAATGAGGAGACCACACTTAATAGATAGTGAGACCCTCGTAGAAAGCAGCTTGTAATGTAGGGCCTGAGAAGTTGTGGGCTCAAGCACAGAGTCCTTAATCCTTCTTTTTTTCTGTTATATGAAAGAGATGGGACCCTTGAACTTAGGAAGGCACCCTCACACGAACAGAATAGAGGCTGTATATGGCTTTCCAGGAGGAAATATAAATCCCTTGAGGATGACTTACAGTTCTTACCAGTGTAGACACAGAGGCCCCGCAAAATCCCCACCATGCATTCAAGATATGGGCAATAGTGGCTAGTTGTGTTTTGTCACTTCTGCAGGGAATTGGGGGAGTTTGTCTCATGAAACTGAGGCCTTGATCTCAAGGAACAACATAAGTAGCCTGAGGGAGAACAGAGAGCACAACCCTTCCTGTTAAAGCCATGGGGTCTGTCAGCTGTCAACCCTAGGAGACTAGACAAAAGTACAAGGCATGGCAAGCTTCACACATTTGACTAGGCTGTCAGAGAAATAAAGATGGCATTTGTCAAAGATGACCAGGGCTCCTTTGAAAAGGCCTTCCCAGATCTTATCAAGACCAATTTAGTTGCAACAGGAGGAAAAAAAAAGCCCTCCCTTGCTATCAATTTAGGAAGACAACATGGTGATAATATTAATCTCAGAGGGAGCTGGCCCCACACTCAACAGGTTCCTGCTATAAACCTTAGGATATTGCAGGCTAGGTTTGTCTGATGTGGCGTTTCATTTTTTTTTTCTGGGTGATGTGTGAGGGGCTTTGATCTGAGGAGGTAACATTCAGTGAGAGTTAGTCAGTGTAGACACGAGCCCCTGACTCAGCCTGGCACCAAGTTAAGGATCCCAGGTGAGGACGGAAGAAGTTTCACCCTTCCTTGCCTTACTCCATTCTCCTCTTCTTCACTCCTTCCGGGAAGAAAGGGACCCTATGGAGTCTAACTGTCAACTTTTTTCTAGCCCACGGAAGGTGCAGCTTGTGGTGTTCTAATGGAATGGACTCTAACATCTGCCATAAGCTCTCCAAAGAGCCAAGGGATTGTAGTGTTTCAGGGTGATGAGGTTTTGGTTAAATGGACACACTTCAGATCAGAGGAGACAGAGGCATGTCCTGCTTAACAGTAAAGATGACTCTCCTGCAAGTAGGACTGTTTCCCTCAACAGACCCTGACAGGTCATTGAATTTGATGCAGTTTTAGTTTTGCATGGAATGTTCCAGGGAGGTGAAGGAAAGCCCTTGTGTAAGGCTGTGACATTAGCAGAGTGAGGGACTCAAGTATCTCTGGTGTGTTGTCTTGCATCGGAGCGTGGTCTGAAGAGGCAGTAATATGGCGAGGAGGTGCATCAGGTCAGCAGAGCCAGGAGTCTGGGAATACCAGGAATTAGATAAGGATTCTGAGTGAGAACTGAGGGTACAAGCCCCCTTCCTAGGACTGAGAGTGCATGTGGTGCCATGTTTCCCATGCCTGTGGATGCCCTGAGGGATGTGGTTGTGTGCGTGTGGTACATCATCTAATTTATCTTGGTGATCTCAAAGCATTGCTCAGTGGAACAAGCCAAGGCCAGCAGAGGGTACAGCCCCAGGCTTCGAGGTTTCAGATTGAGAAATGAGTACGTCTCTCACTTAGGAGATGGAAGCAGAGTTTGGTTGCTTCTTAACTGGCACCTGGGGAGGCCCTTGACAGATGTGCTTGGGGATGGGCCTCCCTTACTTCTTCCTCTTTGTCTCAGGAGTGTGAGGTGTTATCCCTAGGGTTTGTCTCAGTCCAGCAGCTGAGTAGGATCTAAGACTTTCTAGAGGAAAGGTAAACTCAAAGGGGACCATCCGCCTGAAATTAGTGATTTCAGAGGAACATCTAACCTAGCTGCATATAGCAGTTTAGGGTTCTTACCGTCCTCAGTGTTGGAGGTCCTCTCAGCTCTTCTTACAGAGCAGAGCTATCAGCATTTGGGCTGACGGGCTTAATGTGAGTCATCTCGAATCACCACATAGAAAAGGCCCAGGGAGTCAAGTAATCATGGTGATGAGTACATCTCATGTGCAGCAAGGATGCTACCCAAAGCCCCAAACCAAGGGGGTCCCCCAAGTGGGCCCTGGAGTCTCAGGACCTTCTAGGTGCCTAAATGCTGAGGACCCTTCTCATATCCATCTTCAGGTTCCAGTTGGACAAGCAACAAGGCAAGAAGCAGGTCTCTGGGAACATCACGTACAAAGACGTCTTGTGAGTATGCTTTTGTTAGCATCATCAGGGTTAGATTCTTAGCTGAGGCCACTCACAGTACCTTTCTTTCCCCCAGGTATGTGGGATCCATTCGCCCACTCTCTTGCTCATACTCCAGCCTGCCATCTCTAGTGAGAGTCATTATGCCACACTTTCCATGCTCTGTCCTTGAGAAAGTTATACAGGATGCTTTTGAAATACACAGATTAGCTGAGGAGGAGGAGGAGGAAGAGGAGGAAACAGGAAAGGAGGAGCAGGAAGTGGAAGAGGAGGAAGAAGAGGAAGAGGCGGAAGAAGAGGAGGAGGAAGGGGAAGAGGAGGAAGTAGAGGAGGCTGAGGAGGAGGAGACTGAGGAGGAGGAGGCTGAGGAGGAGGAGGAAGAATGGGAGACTACTGACAGTGATGCGGTCTCTTCCACATTAGTTGCCTCTTTAAAAGTCACTTTCCCCTCCTCCTGCCCCTCTCCACCTTCCACTCTCTCACCCCATCCTCTCTTATGGGGCAGTCTAGATGAGGTGGAAGCGGCTATTTTTGGGATGCTGAGTATTTTCCAGAGTTACCAGAGCTCTTACTCCCTCACTTCATGTGGCGACTTAGATGAAAACTATGGCAGCCCAGAAGAAGAAAGTTCAAACACTTTGAAGTTGACAGACAATGATTCCTCAAGGCAAAACCTCAAAAAGCGAAAGGTGACTGAACTGGTGAATCTCATGCTCCTCAAATATAGAATGAAAGAGCCTATCAAAGAAGTGGAAATGCTTGGCGTTGTCACAGAGGACTACAAGAAACAATTCCCTGTCATCCTTCGGGAAGCTTTGAAGTGCTTGGAGATGATTTTTGGCATTGTTACAAAGGAAAATGATCCTGTGAACAGCTCTTTTGTCCTTACCAATGCACTCAACCTCACATATGATGACAACAACCACAGATTGCCTAGAAATGGCTTCCTGCTAGTTATTCTGGGTGTGATATTCGTAGAAGGGAACTGTGCTTCTGAAGAAAGTGTGTGGGAATTCCTGAATGGGATGGGAATATATGATGGGAAGGAACACTTCATTTATGGGGAGCCCAGGGAATTCCTCACTAGACATTTAGTGCAGCAAAATTATCTGAAGTATAGGCAGTTGCCTGAGAGTTGTCCTCCACGTTACATGTTCCTGTGGGGTCCAAGAGCCTATTCTGAAACCACCAAGATGGAAGTTCTAGAATTTTTGGCTAAATTTACAGGGAGGGATCCCATTTCTTTCTCATTCTTATATCATGAGGCATTGAGAGATGAGGAAAAGAGGGCCCGAGCCAGAAAGGACCCCATGGATTAGTACCATGTTTATAACAACATGGGGAAGCCCAGTTACTGATGTTAAAAAGGGCAGTTAAACTTTTAAGCAAGGGGAGGGAGGTGAAGCTTAGTCTGGGCATGAGCAGAAACAGTATAGGGCAACTTTGTGTTCTGGTTCTAGAGATGGTAATTGTTTCCCCTGTTTTCTTTTTGGATACTTTCTCCAATGTTCGTCTTTGTCATTGAAAGTGTGTTACATTACCTTTGTAATGCAAGTTTCTAATTACTTACATCTGTTCCTATCTTACCAGCCTCTGAGAAAACGTAAGAGGTTCAATAGTTAACCTTTGGGTTCCTTTAATACTTTTAGTCAACTCTGTATTGTGTACCCAGACTGGTTTGTTTAAGAAAACAGGAAAAATGGTAATAAATCTTAAGATCTCTGCTCACTGATTCATTTATTTTTCAAACGTTACTTGGATATATTTTTTACAGTTATGTTTATTTTAGTTTTTATGTGTATGAATGTTTTGCCTACATGCATATATGTTTAACACATGTGTCCCTGGTACCCACAGAGATCAGAAGAGGGCATCAAGTCCCCTGGATCTGGAGTTTCAGATGATTCTGAGTCACCATATGTGTGCTGATAACTGAGCCTAGGTCCTTTGCAAAAGCAGCAAATACTCTTAATATCTGAGCCATCTCCAGCCCCATGTTGGATGTTTTTCTTTTTGTGGAATGTGCATGGTTGTTGGGGAGGGTATGCAGATAAATAGCTACATTCCCTTCCTAGGGATGGAGAGAGTCTAGAGAGATATCTGTGAAGACATAATAAACCAGAAGAAGAATTAAGTTGGGCAGTGATGGTCATTTGTCATCACCCAAGTGCAAACGCTCTGAGCCAGTGCTAGAGACCTGACTCTTAGTCTTTGAGGACAGAGCAAAATCCCAGGATCAAATTAAGATGTTCCCATGGGATTCCAGCTGACCCAGCGAGAAATCCCTGGCCAGCACACTTGTGCAGGAAGGCATTCTGGGGTTCTGCCTTGATCCATTCTCTGCACCACCGTAATCTTGGTTTGTTTGTCTTAGATTCTGAGATAGGATCTCTTTAGACCAAGATGGCCTTGAACTGATCTTCCTGCCTCCATTTCCAAAGTGCTGAGATTACAGGTATGCACCGGTGTAATACAGCTGTTCACTCTGACCCACAAAGCCAAACAGATTTACATAAGGGTCTTCTTACAAAGAGGCTGAGAATCCTTCCAATTGCTGGCTAGAGACCCAGACTGCCACTCTTTTCTTTGCCAGGGCAAGCCAGAGCCAAGGGATTGTTGTTTGGTCAATTCTAACCAAGATCAAGGATCTGGTGGTAATAAAATTAGTTTAGAAAGTGTATCCAGAGCATGGGCAGCTGGGAGGGGAGGGAAGAATGACTCCCATCCAAAATAGTTTATATTTTAGAGAGAAAACATCATGACTTCTTTGGAAAGCTGCATTTGGGGCTGATTTGCTATTTACTCTACTGTTGAGCATGTTTCCCCTGAATGAGTATGTGTGGGGTCAAATTACTATTCACACTCAACTGACATTCATTATATACACAATTATGTACACACACTGCCAGGCGATTCTTAGCCTATATATTACAATGGTCCTACATGACATTATTGTTGAAGTCAGCTCCACAGAGAGCCAGTTTCACAGTGCTTGGGAGTTACCCCAAGATCATGAAATCACACAGCTGGTAAGTGACAAGGCTGGCCAGGAGTTCATCTTTAGTCCACATTGTTCTCACGCCTCCAGCTGGCATTCTATTAGTTTCTTTTTAAAGATTCAGCCTTTTGTATCACTGGCTATTCTCAAAATTCGCACGTAACTGAGGATGACGTTTGAGTTGCCTGGCTTCCTGCCTCCAACTCCCAAGCAATGGAGTTTCAGATGTGTGCCAACCCTCTGGCTTATGCATTGCGAGGGACTGAACCCAGGGCCTAGTGTACACTAGGAAAGTACTCTCTGAGGTACATCACTGGTGCTTTAGTGTCCATTCCCAAATGTCCCAGATGACAAGGAGGTTGTATGACAATAGTAAAGGGCTTCATCCTGTATAAGAACTTGTGGGCATATTCAGTATGGCTTGGGTTTTTATTTTGTCCTTTCCACAAAATGGTTCTTGTAACTGAAGAGCTGCCTGGCATATTCGTGTTTGATCTGACCTGTTTCCAAGTTGACATGGAAATTGAATCACACAATGTTTGGTTTCTGTTTTCATCGTTTTGACAGAATTTCTTTGCTGTCTTCATATCTTATTCACCAGTATATGAAGGGGAATGCTGTCTAATTTTAAGATTGTTTTCTGTAATTTTAAGCGATATGATTCCTGTGTACCTTGTATAAACTTTGGGTTTCTTATTCTTGGAATTGTCAAGAATACTAAAGACTTTTCAAAACTTCTGGACACTATGAGACTATACTTATCCTCACATTTCCCATCTATCTCTTTTTCATTTGTCATTCATTAGCCCAACTTGATCTGGACTTGAACTCATGGCAATCCTCCTATTTTAGCTGAGATTACATGCATGCGTTCCTAGCCCAGCTTAACCTTTGCCCATTTCTTTAAGTAATTTTTCTCCATCTCTCCTTTTACTTTCCTTTTCTTTGGGGGGGATTTCCAAATATATGCTTATAGTTGTTGTAGTCTATTTAATAGCTTCTTTTTCTCTAGGATTAATTACTGAAAGATTCTATTGCTGTATATTAAAACTCATTAATATTTTTTGTTTTTAATTACAGCTGTAGGTTTTGAAAACTCAGACCTTACAGTTCTCAGAGAGGTCACGTGGGGTTCTTTGTGGTATCTTTAATGACTACATCTGGCAGGTTTAAACTGCCCTGCGTAGTTTTCTTTTATGTTGCTAATGCTCTAGCCCAGACCTCACCTGTGCTGACCAAGTATTCCAACAGTGAGCTACAGCCCAGTTTTGAGCATATGGAACACAGTTAGAATAGCTGTTTCATTGTTTTCACTTGACTCCATCAATTGTGTTTCTAGACCCGTTTTAATCAGTTGAATGTTTTATTAATGTAAGTCGATTTCTGTGCTTCTTTCCATGGACACTGGCATATATTTTTTCACTAATAAAACTTCAGCTACCCAACCATTCTTGTCTCCTTCTCACCCCTAGCAACCTCTCTGCTCCCTGAAAGTCTCCTCCCCATGTTCCTCCCCATGTTCCTGACTTTTGTTTTATTTTGTGAGCCAGTGAGGTAAACCAGGACTTTTCACACTACTGTGGGGATAAAACTCCGTACTGGATACTGGTAGGCTTCCTGGATCTCCTTTTTCCCACTGTTCCTCTGAGGAAATGTGTTTTCTCACTTTCATGAATGATGCTGACTTTCTTTGTCCTTCATGTGTAGAATTTAGGTATTTTCTATAGCACTGGCGTAGCTGTGGCACATACCTTTTGTTTTTGCTTGCCTTGCAATGTTCTCATTTTCTCCATCAATTTTCAGAGCTTTTTGCTAGGTGTAATCTGCGATTATTTGAAGGCTGTGAAAACAATCTCATGCTCTAGTGGCTTTAGGGCAGTGAATGAGAGATGTGAGCTTCTTCTCATACGTTTACTTTTGCTTGTGAGTTGGCTTTTAATATTGTTTCCTTGCTTTTTATTTACTTGTTCGCTTTTTTGTTTTGTTTTTCAAGACAGGGTTTCTCTGCCCTGGAACTCACTTTATAGACCCGGCTGGCCTTGAACTCACAGAGATCCACCTGCCTCTGCCTCCTGAGTGCTGGGGTTAAAGGCGTGCGCCACCAATGCCCAGCTTAGCTTTCTATTTTTGATATCTTTACTGTGATAAATTATGGAGAGTTCTTCCCTGACTGTTGTGTTTATGGTTCGGCCTACTCGAATTTCATTGGATAAGATGTCTATGACTTTACACTTTATAGAAGCTCTCACTGTATATTAATTCTTTCCACTCTGCATTATTTTAAAAACAACGTTCTTCATTTTTGAGAATCTTGTATGTCATACAATGAAACATACATTCACTTTTATTTCTTCCTGCCAATTCCTCTCATGTCCCCCTAGCATGGCGTCCTCTCAACTACATGTTTGTTCTTTGGTTTGTTTGTTTGCTTGTTTGCTTGTTTATAACCCATTAAGTAAAGTTAGAACACTTAGTGCTGCTCATCTGTGCATGAGTGTGTGGCCATCCACTGGAGCATGGGAACCCTTTCAGTGGTCACATCTTCTGGAAAGAATGGCTCCCTCTATCTACTGCTAATAGCTCTGCTTTCAGGAAGGGGTGGGGCCTGGAGATCATGAACTCCACCTTTGCCACTATTTTGGCTGAATTGATCTGCAGATTTTGTAGAGGTTGCCCCAGCTTCTCTGAGTTCATGAATGTAAAATGCTTCCTCTGGACAGGACTTTGCTAGCACACAGGGCTTGGCCATCCTGCACTCTGCATTCTTAAGTTTGGTCTTTTGAAACTAACCCAGTGTTCTTAGAAGTTTTGGTCATGCACATTAATCTTGCTATATACGTCTGAATGTGCTCTTCAGTCTTGTCTTCCATCCCTGAAACTTGCTGTTATGCTTGGTCTTGTTGGTTAATGCATGCTTTCTACTTTTTAAAAAATTTATTTCCTTTATGTGTATGAATGTTGTGCCTGCAAGTATATGTGTGCACTGTATATGTGCCTGGTACCCACAGAGGTTAGAAGAGGGCACTGGATCTTCTGAATCTGGAGTTACAGATGGTTGTGAACCACTGTGCAGATGATGGGAACTGAACCCGGGGAAGAGAGGCCAGTCAGTGCTCTTAATGGCCGATCCATCTCTTCAGCCTTGATTCCCAACGTGTGGGGTTTTTGTTTGTTTGATTCACTCATTTCCAGCATTTTTGTTTTATTTTTCCAACGTCACTTTCCCTGCGCCACTTCCTCCATGTGTTTGAGTTTCTTTCAGTTTCATCCACTTTGTTACTTTTATTCTCCAGGGTCTTGATTGATTTCTTCATTTCCACC